CATAATAGCTCTCACAGAAACAAAGCTAACGAAAACCATAACAAATGCAGTGTTCCCACAGGACTATTATGTTATGAGGAAAGAGAGAGAAGGAAGAGGTGGTGGTGGTGTAGCCCTGCTGGTAAGAAAGGCTGGGATTTTGAGATGGTTGTTCAGGGATGTGAAGGTTTCAGTGACTACATAACAGGCACAATAACAACTGGAGGGCAAAAAATTATAGTCGTAGTCATATATAATCCAAAATCAAATGACAGAAGACCCAGATAGGAATATGATAGAAACAACATGGCCACCATTAACATAATAGAGAGAGCAGCTTCTGTTGCTAGCAGGAATGGATCTGGACTACTAATCATGAGAGACTTCAACCATGGGAAGATAGATTGGGAGAACAGAGACCCGCATGGAGGACCAGAAACATGGAGAGCTAAGCTGCTGGACGTGGCAACAAGAAACTTTCTAAGCCAGCACATCAAGGAACCAACAAGAATGAGAGGAGAGGATGAACCAGCAATGCTTGATCTGATATTTACCCTAAATGAGTGGGATATAAGGGAAGTCAAGATGGAAGCACCCTTGGGAATGAGTGATCACAGTGTATTGAACTTTGAGTACCTGGTAGAGCTAGGAATTATCTCCCCCAAAAAAGAACTAGGAAACAAAAGGCTGGCATACCGAAAGGGAAATTATGAGGAGATGAGAAGCTTCCTAAGGGAAATACCTTGGGACACAGACCTCAGAGCTAAGTCTGTACAAGATATGATGGACTATGTCACCCAAAAGTGTCAGGAGGCAGTAAGCAGATACATCCCGGCCCAAAAGGAAAAATCCGAGAAGCAAAAGAAGAATCCATGGTATAATAGGGCATGTATGGAAGCAAAGAAACTGAACAAAAGGGCGTGGAGGAACTTCCGGAATAACAGAACACCAGAAAGCAGAGAGAGATACCAGAGAACCAGGAATGAGTATGTCAGGGTGAGAAGAGAAGCAGAGAAAAGTTATGAAAATGATATAGCAAACAAAGCCAAGACCGAACCAAAGCTACTCCACAGTCACATCAGAAGGAAAACAACAGTGAAAGAACAGGTAGTGAAACTTAGAACAGGCGAGGACAGGTATACAGAGAATGACAAAGAGGTGTGTGAAGAACTCAACAAGAGGTTCCAGGAGGTCTTCACAACAGAACAAGGTGAGGTCACTGTGCTAGGAGAAAGGGAAGTAAACCAGGCGGCCTTGGAAGGGTTCGAAATTACGAGAGAGGAGGTCAAGAGACACCTGCTGGATCTGGATGTTAGAAAGGCTGTTGGTCCAGACGGGATCTCACCATGGGTACTGTAAGAGTGTGCAGAGGCACTTTGCTTGCCACTCTCCATAGTGTATAGTAGGTCACTGGAGACGGGAGACCTACCAGAAATATGGAAGACGGCGAATGTGGTCCCAATATACAAAAAGGGCGACAGGCAAGAGGCACTGAACTACAGGCCAGTGTCCTTGACTTGTATACCATGCAAGGTGATGGAGAAGATCGTGAGAAAAAACCTGGTATCACATCTGGAGAGAAGGGACTTCGTGACAAATCGCCAACATGGGTTCAGGGAGGGTAAATCTTGCCTGACTGGCTTAATAGAATTCTACGACCAGGTGACAAAGATTAAGCAAGAAAGAGAGGGCTGGGCGGACTGCATTTTCTTGGATTGTCGGAAAGCCTTTGACACAGTACTGCATAAGAGGCTGGTACATAAGCTGGAGAGACAGGCAGGTGTAGCTGGTAAGGTGCTCCAGTGGATAAGGGAGTACCTAAGCAATAGGAAGCAGAGAGTTACGGTGAGGGGTGAGACCTCCGATTGGCGTGAAGTCACCAGTGGAGTCCCACAGGGCTCTGTACTCGGTCCTATCTTGTTTCTGATATATGTAAATGATCTCCCGGAGGGTATAGATTCATTTCTCTCAATGTTTGCGGACGATGCCAAAATTATGAGAAGGATTAAGACAGAAGAGGACTGTTTGAGGCTTCAAGAAGACCTAGACAAGCTGAAGGAATGGTCGAACAAATGGTTGTTAGAGTTTAACCCAACCAAATGTAATGTAATGAAGATAGGTGTAGGGAGCAGGAGGCCAAATACAAGGTATCATCTGGGAGAGGAAATTCTTCAGGAGTCAGAGAAAGAAAAAGACTTGGGAGTTGATATCACGCCAGACCTGTCTCCTGCAGCCCATATCAAGAGGATAACATCAGCGGCATATGCCAGGCTGGCCAACATACGAACGGCATTCAGAAACTTGTGTAAAGAATCATTCAGAACTTTGTATACCACATATGTCAGGCCAATCCTGGAGTATGCAGCCCCAGCATGGAGTCCATATCTAGTCAAGGATAAGACTAAACTGGAAAAGGTTCAAAGGTTTGCCACCAGACTAGTACCCGAGCTGAGAGGTATGAGCTACGAGGAGAGACTACTGGAATTAAACCTCACTTCGCTGGAAGACAGAAGAGTTAGGGGGGACATGATCACCACATTCAAGATTCTGAAGGGAATTGATAGGGTAGATAAAGACAGGCTATTTAACACAAGGGGCACACGCACAAGGGGACACAGGTGGAAACTGAGTGCCCAAATGAGCCACAGAGATATTAGAAAGAACTTTTTTAGTGTCAGAGTGGTTGACAAATGGAATGCATTAGGAAGTGATGTGGTGGAGGCTGACTCCATACACAGTTTCAAGTGTAGATATGATAGAGCCCAATAGGCTCAGGAATCTGTACACCTGTTGATTGACGGTTGAGAGGCGGGACCAAAGAGCCAGAGCTCAACCCCCGCAAACACAACTAGGTGAGTACAACTAGGTGAGTACACACACACACACACACACACACACACACACACACACACACACACACACAGGTGGAAACAGAGTGCCCAAATGAGCCACAGAGATATTAGAAAGAACTTTTTTAGTGTCAGAGTGGTTGACAAATGGAATGCATTAGGAAGTGATGTGGTGGAGGCTGACTCCATACACAGTTTCAAGTGTAGATATGACAGAGCCCGATAGGCTCATGAATCTGTACACCTGTTGATTGACGGTTGAGAGGCGGGACCAAAGAGCCAGAGCTCAACCCCCGCAAACACAACTAGGTGAGTACAACTAGGTGAGTACACACACACACACACACACACACACATTTAACACAAGGGGAACACACACAAGGGGACACAGGTGGAAACTGAGTGCCCAAATGAGCCACAGAGATATTAGAAAGAGCTTTTTTAGTGTCAGAGTGGTTGACAAATGGAATGCATTAGGGAGTGATGTGGTGGAGGCTGACTCCATACACAGTTTCAAGTGTAGATATGACAGAGCCCGATAGGCTCAGGAATCTGTACACCTGTTGATTGACGGTTGAGAGGCGGGACCAAAGAGCCAGAGCTCAACCCCCGCAAACACAACTAGGTGAATACAACTAGGTGAGTACACACATCAGCGGCATTTGCCAGGCTGGCCAACATACACACACACACACACACACACACACACACACACACACACACACACACACACACACACACACACACACACACACACACACACGCAGGCACACACGTTTAAACATGTTTGATTATTGAGAGGTGGGCGGGCTGAAGAGCCCAAAGAGCTGAAGCTCAACCCACGCACAGACACAAATGTAAAACAAATACAAATAGCAAATACACACACACACACACACGTTCAAAACATGTTTACAAACACCGAGGTGAGTACGACTAGGTGAGCCACACTCACGCTCAAAGCCATTTTTCCCCACTCAGAGGTAGAGCCCAGGAACTGAAACTCAACCCCACGTAAGCACAATAAGGGTTACACCCCTCAAACACCGATGCCACATTCCACGCAAGCACAATTAGGTTACACCGTTAACATGTTTAACTACTGAGAGGTGGGACCAAAGAGCACAGAGGCAAGAGTCCAAAAACTGCAGCTCAACCCCAAGTAAGCACAGTTAGGGGTTATACCCCTCAAACACCGAGGTGAGTATAACTAGGTGAGCTCACACACACACACGCATGCATGCGCATGCACACACGTACACACAAAAAAACATTCATCCACTGACAAGCAGGGTCCAAGAACTGATGCTCAACCCCACGTAAAAACTACAACTAGGTGACTTCTCACACACGCGCACGCACACACAAAAAACATTCATCCACTGAGAGGTGGGGCCCAAGAACTGAAGCTCAACCCCACGTAAGCACAATTAGGGTTATACCCCACAAACACTGATGCCTAACACTGATAATCACATTCAATCAGCGATTAATCACTGATAATCACATGTAATGTATGCACAAGCTTGTTCCTAGATAACATATCTGATAAGAACCACTATTACATCAGATCTTAGTGCGATAAAAGGTGTCTCGCCCTGTCAATAAGGGAACTACTAACAATATCCCATGTTCCACTCCAAGATAGCAAACACTTAATTTGTTTTCTTCATCTCTTGTACAAAAAGCTCTGTCCTTGAGAATCTTATTTATGAATTCCCCACAACCAAGACTCTCTTTCATTTCTGGAGTTCCTTTCGTTGTCTTACCTTCCATACGAACCACAAACTCCTCTTAGCACTCATCCTCCAAAGTGGAGAATACATTGGAGGTCTTTATGGAAGATAGGAAGACTGAGATGAGGCCTACCTTAAGTCCCCTGTCTTTCATAAATTCCAAGATCAGAACTTCTTAACGCTGCACTCTTTCTTAACTTGTTCCGATGGGTGCATTGTTTCATCAGCCTAGATTCCTCACACAGAGCCTAACTCAGTTCTGAGAGCACCACACAACTCCACTGTGTTAGTTGTGTTAGTGTTAGTTGCTCATAACACTTCCACTGTAGCTTACCTAGAGAACACAAGTAACACGACTGCTTTTGACTGTCTACCGCTACCAAGAGCACTAGCTAGCTATGTCTTCGCCTGACGGCTATCCCATGAACCTACTGACCTTAAAGTTGTAGATGTTGTCAGCATACTGTGTGAAGGCAGTGGGTAAGAGCCAGCCGTCAGGCAGGAGGCGGACCATGCCTTGTTCGTAGAGCGTCTGTTCCTGCTCCATCCTGGCCAGCCACTCCTCGCTCATGGCTACCACCTCGTGACCACTTGCCAGTTGCTTGCTCATCTTCCTTGGGAAAACTAGACATGTAATGATTGCATTCTATAGAGGAAGGTATTCTCAGGAAGTGTTCCAAGTATATCACAGAATACAAACAGTAGTATAATGAACATTCTTAAAAGTAAAAATTATGCTGCTACTTTCTGTAATGAGAAACAGCATAATACAGATATCAAAGGAGGGAACGAGGGAGAGGCAGGTCAGACAAGGTGGAAAGAGGTGCGTATATCGCGAAAGGATTCGAGTCAGCATTATTAAATCGTCACTAAGGGAAAGAGAGAGAGGAGGGTGCAAAGAGAAGAGGGTGGTAAAAATGGGGAAATGGTCACTGTTATGGAGATCATCAAGGATCCTCTAAGTAAGGTCTAAATAAATGGAGGAGAAGCAGAGGAAAAGATCAATACAGGAAAGGGTACGAGTATGCGAGTCAACATTATGAGTCGGGTTGCTGGAACTCAGAAGAGACAATGGAGAAGAGAGGATGAAAGGTTCCAGCAGAGGGCCGCAGGTATGTGTCAGAGCATGAAAGGGAGATAAATGGAGCATTTACCTGTAAAGATACAAAAAATGAACTTTCGATAGAAAAAGGAGAGGAACAATAGGAACATCATTCTGACCCCAGCAAAAGCTGGTGGGAGGAAAGAAAGGCATAACCGCGAAAGAGATTATGACAAGTGCCAAGCATCAGCTCCTGAAGACAGGTCCAAGATGACCAAATTTGAGAAATCAGAAGTTGGAGTTCAAGAAAAAATTGTGAGGAAACCACGAATATTCCATTGAAGAACAGACATGGGAAAGAACAGAGGGCGAGGACAAATAATATAGAAGAAACACAAAGGTAAAGGACATTAGAGAGGATCGGGAGGAGGTGTAGTGAAGTCCGGTTGAGAGGGCAGAGGTAAATCAAGCAAAAAAGGCGGAGAAGAGAGGGCAGTCGGAAGAAGAAGAGACAAACTAATGCACTGTCTTCTCTCTCCCCACCTCAGAGGTGGTCGAGGAAGCACAGTAGGTGAGGACCAACAGAAATATCAGGGAGCACTTTACCAGGGATACGACCAGTGGCAGAATCATGGGCAGCATGAGCGTAATCAGTACAGCCGATTTCGCTACAGAGAGAGGAGAGGCAGGAACAATAATGACAGAGGAAAGTGCAGGAAGGACAGAAGTGATCTTACCTGCTGGAGAGGAAGAGGGAAAGGAATCAAGTTTCCGTTTCTGACTGTGAGACACCAAGGTGCCAGTAGTGATGTACTGGGCAGTGGCCTCTATAGTCTCAGACAGAGTGAGAGATGAAGAGCTGGGAACGGGAGTAGCAATGACTGTGGCCTGGCCGGAGAGGAGTGTGGGGGAGACTAAAGACGGGAGAAGACTGAGAAGAGAGACTCTCAAAAAGTGAAGGAGGGCAAAGAGGAAAGAGGAGGAGGAGGAGGAAGGAGGGAAGCAGCACTAACTGGGCAAGGACGTGTCGAATTACACCCCCAATATTCAGTACATAATAGTATGAATAGTTGACTAAATAATTACGTGGGAGAGTGAGACACCAGAAATACGGCAGGGGCTCGGCCCCCCCCCCCACCCCAGGGGCTCTGCCGACCCCCCCCCCTCATTAGGGGCTCTGCCGACCCCCTCCCACATTAGGGGCTCTGCCGACCCCCTGCCACATTAGGGGCTCTGCCGACCCCCTCCCACATTAGGGGCTCCGCCGGAACAACAACCCCCCAACCCCAGGAGCTCCGCCCCCCACCCTCACCCCCTGAAGCATCCACACCTCTACCATTTGCCTTTGTTGTGTGGCGTCATTTAAGCACTCACGTTAAGCAGTTCAAGCTGAAGCGGGTTCCCTCACTTCTAGCTTTACATAATACTAGGTTCAGGCAAACTCTATGATTATTCCAGTAGTACAAATCTTATCCGTCACGTCCTTAATGAATTTTTCACTCATCCAGTAATTAGCCTTGTTGCCAGCAGTCACTAATTACTGTTAACTCTTTTATCCTTTAATGTGATCTTTAACTATTCAGTTATGTTATCACGTGGGTTACAGTTAAGTTTTAACCAATATTTTAAGTTTTATATTTTACCATACCTTGTTACTTTACCTGTTGCATTCATTACTTGAATTAGACTAGTTCCCAGCGAAGGCTAATTACAGTTATTCATATTAATTACCAGGTTAATTTATCATTTAGTACACAGTTATTTTACTAATATTTCTACTTTATATTTACGTCCTTTAATTTACTTCAAGTAATTAATTATAAATAATAATTTTAGCCCCAGTGCAAGTATCGATTTTTTCCCCGACTCTGCCTGGTTCACTGGCAGACTCTTTGCTTGGTAACCATTCTCTGGTCACGTGTAATACAAGAGTTTTATTAATATGTTCTAAGCTGGAAAACCATTGTTACACAATCAGAGAAAATTACCTTCTCGCAGACGTTGATTTGAATTTGCACCCGCACAAGAAACACAAAGTTTATTATTAATGAAATTTTTGCCCCGAGGGGCGAGCTTATTGGGCAGCGCCACTCATCCTGTGAGTAGACACACCGCCATAGCAGCATGTACAACCCCCCCCCCCCCACCCCAATAAGAAGAAAACCCGCTGGGTTGTTCATCATGTCATTTGTACCAAGAAACAGCTGGGACTTTTTTAATTTTAAAGTGATCACTTATCAAACAAGAAGAATAATATTTGTCAACCCTTAAAAACTTTCGTTATCTTACGGGAACAAAATGGGGAATTTTTTTGAGAACAACATTTATATTTGACATATATTATTTTCCTAACTAAAATAATGTTGGGTTTATTATGCTACACATATTTCTGATGTGTCTTAGATGTTCACATTCTCTCAAATAGTGGTCAAGGCGGTGTCTGTCACTTTCACCACAGATTCTGCAACTCCGCTGCTCAGCTGTTGTTTTCATCCCAAGTTTCCATGGATATTTGTATCCAAGACGGTTTCTTGATATTACTGAGTACCAGCATACATAATCATTGGTTTGCTTTTCTATCCTCCTTTCCTCAGTTATCTTGTCATGTGATGTTCCCTGATTATACCTTTAACTTGAAGCAGAGTCTTGGGTATGAGGAATTCAATATGGTCTCCTTCAGCGCTCTCAGCAGCCAGCATATCTGCTCGTTCATTTCCATAGATTCCAACATGGGAGGGGATTCCCCTGATTGGTTAATACTCTTACAGCTCTCTTGAATTCAGCGACTATTGCAGGTTTTCTTCCTGAATTTTACTAAGTCTTTGTAGCACTACTTTTTAATCGGTGCAGATCATTGCACAGTTTATGTTTCGTGCAAAGAATCATAACACCATAACAATGGCAGTTAACTCTGTGTTGACGAGATATAGTTGTCAATACATGCTTTTTCTTCATTTCCGTTTTGAAAGGAAATTCCTAATTGCAGTGAATACTGCACCAGCCCTGTCATTGGCAGCATTAAATAACCCATCAGTATAGATTTGATCTGATTCATTTCCAGCTTCTTTATATATTTCCTCAAAATTCTTGTGTCTCATTTCTTGTGGTATCATGTTGGACTTTTTCGTTGTCATCTCATTGATGATAATCCTACATGCGTCATCCTCCCAGGGGGGGAGATAACCTCTCTACAGGCATGAGCTCACGGGCTTGCTCAAGCAGGTGAAGTTCTTCCAGGTAGCAGACTGATCTGTGATGTCATTTTGTTTAATATTCCTGTTTCCTCCTGTAATTATATCTGAACTCAGTTTTGAATTGGCAATATCATTGTAATGGGGGTCTCTGGCTATCTTAATTGCAAGCTTAACATTCGGTTCCTTAATTCTGTTTTTAACACTGAGAAAGGACAGCGCCTCTTGTAGATTAGATGTTTTGACAGATCTTGGAATAAGTCGAGAATGAATGAATGAATCTTGGGACTCCAAGAATTAAACCTATTGTTACGTATACAATTGGTAATACCTGTTGTTTGCTTAAGGTGTTTGTTGCAGTGACTAAAATTTCGATTCTTTAGCACTGTGTTGTTTACTGGGAGTCATGTATTTACTTTGGGAGACGTAAGCATAGTGGCGCCTCAGGCATACCTGACCACTAGCCAGATGCCAGGTATGCTTTGTTGTTAGTTTTAATGTACAGCAAGTTCTTCTTTTACGTCATGTTGTTATGTACTGGTCCACTTGTTTAATATTATCACATATTCCATTTCTTGGTTGTATCTACAAGTGTAGTGAGCTGACTGTGGAGTGGTGGTGCTGGAACCATGTAATGTCAGCTCCTTCCCTCGGTCAGGGCCAACCAGAATAGGGATCAAGTTTCAATATATTTAATTTCCTTAGCCTACTTGTGCTTCGTTATTTTCACTTTAATTTTATATTTTTGGTTTAATGTATTATGGAAAACTCACCATTATTGAATTTTCATCACTGCATTTGCTCACTCACTGAGAGGACACTGCCTGTAGTACAGTTAACTTGACTGTGTCACCACTATGCCTGTGGCACCACTACGCCTGTGGCACCACTATGCCAGTGGCACAACCATGCCTGTGGCACCACTATGCCACCGGTACAACCATGCCTGTGGCACCACTATGCCAGTGGCACAACCATGCCTGTGGCACCACTATGCCAACGGTACAACCATGCCTGTGGCACCACTATGCCAGTGGCACAACCATGTCTGTAGCAGCACTATGCCAGCAGCACAACCATGCCTGTGGCACTACAATGCCTGTAGCACCACCATGCCTGAGGTACAACCATGTGTTGGAAAATATCAAACACTTATTTTCATTTTATTCTTCTGATAAATGATTCTTGTATTAACCGTAGTAATTTACTAATATTACTAACTTGTAGATTAATCATATTAATATTTTTTCTACTGAGCAAATTATTTACCGAATATTTGTACTCCACGGCGAGGGTACGTCCAATCACTTAGCATAGGGAAAGGAAATATCTATTTACCAGAGAATTAAATTCTATTCTCACTACTTATCAGTATTC